CTGAAACTAAAATATCAAATCACAAAAAAAAAAAAAAGCTCTGTTAGGGCATCACGAAGGGAGTCGGCATCCATGGTCAAACAGTGGGGCTCGAAGTCGAATCGAACAGTGGGGTTCGAAGACCGAACAGCGGGGCTCGATCCGTAAAAAGGCAACCGCGAACGTGGGCTGCAGGGCTCAACCCGCGACCGACGTTTAAACAAAAAAGCCAAATGTGGTTTCCTCGACCCACCCCCAAACGCCGAACTTCGCGGCTGCTCCCCACACCGCGCTCCGAACGTGCTTCAGACGCCCTCCCAAACGAACCCTGAGTCTTGTACATTAGGTTTAAGGTTTGGGAGAGATCTCCTACCTCTCGAATTGAAGGAATTGTGAGAGATTTCCTACCTCTTGAATTATAGGAATTGGGAGAGATCGTCTATCTCTCGAATTGTAGATGCTTATCCTTATGTATTTGTGTGAGTTATTGGAGTTGTATTGCTTTGGTTTAGTGTTCGATAAATTAAATTTCTATTTGACTTAATTTTTGTGGAAAAATGTGTTGTGTTTGCCGTCATATCATGTTAGTTTTGGAGAGGAAATTTTAAAGGCGTTGGGGGTCTGACTTATACATCATGCCATTTGGTGATATTGATTTACTAGAGGCAAGACAATTTCTATTCCCTTTAACTTTTAGTAAATATTGCATTGAATATTATTTTTTGTAGTATTCTTTCATGTGACTATTATTGAATGTTTTATCTGATTTCATCATGTATTTACAATTTAATTTATAATATATAAATTGTCGTGTGAATCTAAATAGCCCTACATGCATGACTAGATTTGGTATGATATGACTTCTTTAATATTTCATGCTTTCTACTCTATTCAAATCATACATGATGAAATACATGTGAGTTATGTGGGGATTGTTCATCATGCGAGATGATCTACTATATATATTACAATATTCAACGTGCATACCCACGATTGTTGTGACACCTATTGTGATGTTTTCTATGGTGTCTACACACTTTCATTTTACTTGAGTCCTTACATGCATGCATGATCATGATGTACATCCTTTTATAATGTTGTATATACTCTGGTATTACTAGTTCACTATTTACCAGTACATGAGCAAATATGAAATTAGCTATTGTCTGCATATTCTTTCTTACATTTAGTTTTTGAATCTAAAAGATTACTTGTTATTTTTATGATATAATTTGTTATATTATATTCTTTAGTAGTGTTTATGGTTATTTATTAATAAGGCATGCATTTTTTTCGCTATTCACAATTTTTTACTTAGTTGGCTATCACTTAATATGTTTTAACTATATTAATAACATTCATATCTTGCATTCACCAAGTTTTTGTTCGTGTTATCATGAACTAATTCTATCATTCAATATTGTGTTATTCGTTGCATGTTTTGAGTATATTTATACATAAAACTGCATGTGGTGCACAATTTACCTAACATAGTATTCCTTTCTTGCTTTTATGTCATTCCTAGTATAATAAGATGATTGAATGGTTGCATGGTGATTTTTTTAATATGATATGAACTTTCAAGATTCTTTGATTAATATATGTATGATATAACAATGTGTATACCCACGTATGATATGACAAGTAATCTTTTTCTTATGGATGACTTTAATATACTAGGGTCCTTTGTTTTTATTCTTTGTTGGTGTTCTTGGTTATTTATTAAAAAGACATACATTTTTTTTCCTATTTACAATTTTTTATTTAGTTAGCCATCAATGTATATATTCTCAATATATTAATATTTTTTATATGTGTGTGCATGTGTGGGTGTGGGTGTGGGTGTGGGTGTGGGTGTATGCGATATGCTTTTTTTACAGGATCCTTAAGGTATTGACATCAAACTAAACTTCCAATCCTAATTAAATAGCTATACAAATATTAGCATACATGCATAATCTTATTTTGTGATGTATGCTACATTCAACAGTGTATCACACACACAGACACACTCACACACACACGTTGACATTTGATTTTTGACATGAATACCATGTAGGTTGTTTCCTTTCACATGTATTGGAGTTTTTGGCAGGTTTAATGTGACATGATGAGCTTAGTCTTTTTGTTTTGCTGGTTTTAGAAAAGCGGAATGTACCGGGTTCATACTCATTCTATTCTATTTGTGTATTGTTGATTTAAAAAAAAAGAGGTAATATTCCATGCTGATATTGCATATGATATGATGATTTGTGTATGTGGATATCTGCTTATGCTGATAAGTCATGCGTTACAAATATAATCTTATTGTCAATAGACTTTATCTTATGAGAGAGTAATGTTTTTGGATCATGATGAAAGTTATAAAGATGTTTAATCTCATATTTTGTGCAACTCTGAATGATGATGAGTTATAAATTTTGGGGCTTTGTTGGACTTTTTTCAAGATGATAAGAACCTATAAAGTTGAACTAAATTAAATTCAATCTGTGTAATTATGCATGTGAAACTATTCATGAAGGAAGATATACTTCTTGGCAATAATATATGCAACTCACTGATGCAATGCCATTCAATTTTGCCAGAGTTGTTTGTGTGAATGTCACTATGAGAAACCACAATCCAATGTATTTGGTATGATCGCACATCATTGATTTATTAATTATAGCGTATAAGTTGGTTATTGTCATTGCCTAAAGCCTATTATAAAACCATTGTCCAGTTTGTTATTGTCTTCTAGGCTTGGCACTAGGGCTTTTTTTATGCTTAATTGGCATTTGGAAAGTTTAGGTCTATTATTCACTTTGTCTTTTATTGTCCCAATTTTTAATCTTATCATTATTCGCTTCATCTTATATTATCACAAAGTCGGATAAAACACCATTGAAGTATAACTCCCAGCAAGGTTCATCTTTTTCTTTTGTAGTTAAAATTTGTTCATCAGGTAGGTTGTTATTTAGATGAGTGTCACCAGACAATGGACGTGCCGCTAAGGAATCAATCAAAGTCTGGCCTTTAATAGCATACAAGGGAACAAATGTTATATCAAATTGCAATAAGATCAATTGACTATCTAGCTAATCTTCTTGATAGAATTGAACGTGTCATCAAATATTATAAAGGCTTAAAACTATAAATAAGACCAATTTTGTGAGAGTGTATGTAATGTCTTATTTTTTAGACTTGCCAAAATCAATATAACATAAGACCAATTTTGTGAGAGTGTATGTAATGTTTACAATTTAATTATTTATAAAATTAGGATTTTTGTTATATTTTTAAACGATCGAAACTGTGTATTATGGGCATCATGGTGAAATAATAGGATATTTGATTTAAAAAAAAAAGAAATAAAAAGTATAATTGAATCCCCTTTAATAGAGCTGAAATTAGAAGTTTGCACCTAAAGCATGACTTAAATCCAAATCCATTTTGGAATATTTTAAGGTTAATCAACAAGGGTCAGGTGGCGAGATGTCGTCTGCAAACTCAATGGTTCAATTCGACCTGCCAGTTTAATTGGTTGACTCAATCAATTAGTTTAGCCATTCAATTCGTTTGGTTAACTTGATAGACTAGTTTCGTAGATAAACTCGACTCGTTTACATTGCCTATAGTTTCAGCCAGATAATTCGGTGAGCTAATTCAATCAATTAACTCACAAATCAGTTTAGTAGATTTAGACTGTACGCCTAATTATTTTAAATTTGCTGTGACCAATGTATTTATTATTACTTGTATAACAACTTATATAATGTATAATAGTGTGCGCGTTTAAATTGGTTTTAGGGTAGTAAATGAACCAATTCAATTCGGTTCGATTAAGACTCGATCGTGTTATTTCAAATTAGTAAATAAATAAATTCGAACAATTTTTAAAAGCTCGGATCTTAAATGAACTAAACATAAATATAATTGAACTTGTTCATTTGTGTTCACGAACAAACTCGTTTGTTGTTCGAAAAATACTCAATGATAGCTCGTATCATATATGATTTATTATTTAAATAAAATCAATTTATCTAGAATTTATTTAATTATAGATTTAATAGTAATATATTATCATATCAATAATATTTTTTGTTTAATTATTAATTATATATTTATTTTATTAAAATTTTGATGTTAAATGTGAAAATACATAAGACATGATATGTATGAAATAACCCTTAAAATTAACTTTATATCTCAGCAAACCTCATTTTCTCTCTAGCCTCTCACATTTTCGTCTCTCCTCGTTTTGCTTGAAACATATAAAACCCTGAGTTGTTGGGGCGCTTAAGTATCAAAGGCAATGACAAGCTCACAGTTTGTAAGAATCTTTGAAATTCTAGTCTCTCGTATAATTTCTCTTTTTACTTCGTTCATAAATACTACCCAATTAAAAAATAGTGTTCTGAAAGTGTTGTGCAATCATTATAAGAATTATTAAGAATAAAGATGGTGCAACAACTCAATATAAAATATATATACAAAAGTGTCCCAAAGAGCTAAGAAAGTGAGAAGTGCATATCACTATAAGAAACTAGACACTTACATTTGAATGTGAGACTTGGGTGCAAACTTAGAAGTATGATCATATTAAAATATGAGAGATTACTTATCATATGATTATGATTTATGAGTTATATTTTATTTTTACATAGTTTATTATCGATATATTATTATGTGCAATGAGAATTGTAAATTTATTTATTAAAAATTTTATATGAAATTTAGATACTCATTGAATTCTTCGCTATTTTATTAGCTCGTTTAATACTCATTCATTGTCATAAACAAATCATGTACATATCAAGTTCAAACATTAAAAATTTAAAAAAAAATCAAACTCGAATAATGTATGAAAGCTCAACACAAACTTAAGTTGAAAATGAACAACTTATAATTACATCAAGCCAAGTCCGAGCTATAATATACTCGGCTTAACTTGGCTCGATTATAGCCTTAATAAGTATATAATCATTAGAGTTTTACCTTATTTTCTTTTTATTTTTAGAGTTGTCTTTCTTTCTTTTTACTCTTTTTAGTTCGCGTGCCTACGAATAATTTAGGGCTTAACATAAAATTTGAAATTTTAATATGAATTTTGAGGAATAAAAAACACTTGCCAAAAAATAAAACTGTTTAACGACTCGCACTATAATTTTTTCTGTTTCGTAAAATTTTCAAATTAGACCTGACTATTTGTGTGGCTGCTAGTCCTAGACAGCTAATATTTTTGTAATAGCAAACACATTTTGAACAGAACAATAGACCCTAAACCATGGAAAGCTCTTCCTGATCCCGTTCCAAACCGCGTCGGCGTTGGCCGGATTTCTTGATACACTTGGCGGCGGCGAGAACAGCGACAGCAAGGGCGACGCCGAGGGCATCGGCGGCGGCGTCACGGACTGATCCGCCGGCAGATTTCCACAGGCCGATCTCGTCGCAGGCTTCCTTGGCGGCGCCGGCGGCGAGGGCTGTGATGGAGCCCAGCGCAACGCTCCGCCGACGGATGAATGGGCGGTGGCTCCGGCTGGCGAGGGCGGCGACGAGGACGCTGATGAAGAAACAGGCGAATACATGTTCGAATTTGTCGACGGCGAGCCACGGGTCCCGTTCCTCCATCGCTCGGCGCTTTGGGATCAGATGGGAGGCTAGGGTTTGTTTCCGCGTATGGATCGGGTTAATGGTAGTAACGGCGGACTAAACATCTGGTAACTGATAAGTAGCGCTCAAATGTTCGAAACAGTAGGCGGCTTCCTTTGAAGCAGTGATCGGTCCGATTTATTAAATCAAGCTAAACATAAAAACACATGTTTCATGACGTTATAAAATTTTTGATTTAAGATTCGAATTTTGCTTTCAATTCATGTTAAATTCAAATTTAATAAATTCAATCAAAAAGGTGGATTTAACAAATCCGAATTTACTGAAACCTACTACTGTTAGACCCTTATTGCAGCCAAGCAAAAAGGTTCTTACAGTTAGATCACTTAGATCCGACAGCCGACAAGAGAAGAAAATTTGCATATGTAAGACGTACGCAACACTGCGTACGTCCAGTGGTTATATAAAGGCTGTTGTGGGGTTATATCTGCGTTATATCTTTGGTATTGAGGGGTTATATCCGCGTTATATCTCTTGTAACCTCACTGTGCCCTACATGTAACTTACAAATATATGAAAATAGAAGCGCAGAACTTATTTGTAGGTTGAGGTAGGTTATAAGAATGTTACAAGGGGTATAACGTGGATATAACCCCCCAATATCCTCTGAATAACCTCCCTAACGTATTGAGCAAATTTTTCTCCGACGGCAGACAACCACATTAACTTGTTATCAACTTTGATTGATGAGCAAATTTTTCTCCGACGGCAGACAACCACATTAATTTGTTATCAACTTTGATTGAGAAAAAAGACTACAATTAAATCTTATCCAAATATAGATGGTTTATTTCTTTACTAGCAACTGATAAGATGAACTATCATATATACTTCGTTTCCAACGTGGTAGGCTAAGCATTTGAATATTAAGGATTTTAAGTTAATCCATGAAAGGATGAAGGATATAAATGATTCTAACATTAAATCATAAATGATTTATATCACTAGAGATTAAAGAATTATTTTCCACTCCTTTATTTTATATATTTATCTTTTTTCTTTTTGGCAAACTATGAAGAAAAATACAATTTCATTAACATGACTAATGAAAGACAATAAACAAAACTTCCGAACCATTTTGAATGAACCCAAACATTTCATATAATTTGCAAATATCTTAACATGATTGAATAAAATTTTGTTCCCCTTTTTTTTACCTCAACATTGATCAAACCATCTTAAATTTGTATAGGCAGGTCAATAGTCAAATCAAACATCTATGGATTTTAAAAAAAAAAACGGCCTTGTTTTAGGCTCTATCATACTGAGAATTTTAGCATAATTTTCATCATAACTATCATCATCATCATGATTTAAAAAAAAAAAAGTAAAACTATCATGGAAGAGCTTAAAAAAGAATCCATCTTCTTCGTCTTCGCTAACGCCACTAAAGCTAAGCATAACCATAGTGTCGAGGGCAGGCAAACATTGTGGTCCCACGAACTCTCACGAATCCCACACAAAATTCGCCTTGTGCAACAACAACTTATTCAAAGTGTGAAACCTGGAGATAGAGAGGGGTTTGTAATAACATATCCTCCATTCCAATGGCCAACAATCCCATCATCCGCAAGCGCATAAAATATAATGAAATTGACTTCCACTTCACGCGAGATCACATAACCAACAATAATCTGCGAATCAGACACATTAGTTTAAAGGATCAGCTGACATATATCCTCACTAAACCCGTCTATATCTCTAGATAACACTCTGAAGAACAAACTAAGGATCCAAGCTCAAGTCCCCTCTGACATAGTTGAACTTAAAGAGATGATACTCAAATTGTTTGGCACATTATGGGTGGTTGGAGGCTCGTATAATAGCCTCTGGTCATTCTTTTTTAATACATACACACATACATACATATACCTCTCCAGTACATGGAGTAGGGAGATAGTCTATTTTATGTCCAATTGTAATATTATGCTATATGTATGAATTTATGTTGTACATTACAATTTCAGGAAAGCTTGCTTAACTGCTTCATCAATGCTTTCATCACTCATCATCAGCAATATTTTGAGGAAACCCATGTCATTGATAATGGTGTAATATTATGTATTTTTAGTGTCTCTCCCTAAAAAATCTCATTTCATAGAAGCTTAGCATCATAAAATAACAAAAAATTCTCCGTGAAGTATTCTGTGTGTACACAATTCATTCTTTTTGCAAATATTGAGTCTACTCAACACCATCCAAATGACCTAAAAAATATCATTTTTAGCGCTTGTAATGCATTTGTTTTTAGTCACTCGAGGTTGCCAAATTTGTGCTACTTTATGTCATAAACTAAAGCAACTCATGAAAAAACTTGGCAAAACACTCAATTTTCTCCTCCCTGAGTGAACACATAGCCTTGATGGGATTGGCAAGACATCACATCACCATGAACTACCATGGCTAAGAGAACATCATGTGTCCCATGCACTCCAACGACCTCCCACGTGATGGCCACTTCGTACAATGATGACTTATTCTAGCTTGCATTACATGCATGTTTCAATAAAGTTGCTAACCATTGCTTGTCATCTTTGAAGTTAAAGGTACTCAACACCAATTGCGAATACTCCATCATCTTAATCATCTCTTGCAAATTAAACACACCTCTGCTAAAAGTGTGAAACATTGCCAAGACTATAATTCTCACTAAATGTTTTAAAGACGATAATCACATGGACATTTAGTGCTCTTCAATTGAGATTATAAGAGTATGACAATCTTTTTGGATCATTTCAATACATTCAAGCCCTAAACCCCATATGAATAAAAGAGATATCCGACCCAATAACACATCTATCAAATTTCAATTTGTAAGAGCTACTAATGTTGGCTAAGGCATGTATGACAACATATTGAATTTAAGTTAGTAGAATTTAAAAAATGTTATAAATCTGGATTTAGTATATCTTAAAAGGGTTAAATCTCAAAAAATGTTTGACAACAGATTTAATAAATCTAGTTAAATACTTGAAAATTTATTTGATAACTTATACGAGGATTTAAAAGTTTGTTGTGTTTGTTATTATAAAAAATAATAATTAAAATTTGATTTTTTTTTCTTATTATGATAAAAATTAATTATTTTATTTTATTAAAGTTAAATTTAAATCCCCGTGTTATTCATGTGTTATTGTGTGTTATTCATGTGTTATTGTATCCTGGGAATATTCCTGGTGTTATAATAACACAATAATACATGAATAACACATGAATAACACATAATAACACAAGAATAACACAGGAGAGAATATTCCCCCGTGTTACTGCGCCGTTTTTTTCTCTGTCGGGAATATTTCCCATGTTATTCAAGTGTTATTGTGTGTTATTCATGTGTTATTGTATCCTGAAAATATTCTTGGTGTTATAATAACACAAAAACACATCAATAACACATGAATAACACGCAATAACACATGAATAACGCGCAATAACACATGAATAACACAGGAGAGAATATTCCCCGTGTTACTGCGCCGTTTTTTTTGCTCTACCGCGCGAGATGTCGTGGCGTGTTTTGATTGGCTACGCACGTTATTTTTACGTGCGTAGTAATGATGTAATATTTCTTCAATGCCATCCCAATATCACGCCAATACCACTGATTAGCACTTAATACACAGGCATGTAATATTTTTCCGACAATTTGAGCTAACTAGGAAGGCAACGGCAGGATTGCGACGTACAAACAACCGAAAATCTCATCTTTCTTCTTCGTCCATACCGGTCCTACCCGAAATCATGGTGGAAGAAGAAGGAAGTTAACTTCATATCTTCATTTTCGTGCGAATTGCCAATCCCGAATTTCCGATTGACATGATTTAGTAAATTCAGGATTTATGGGTCAAAATCAGTAAAATTTGGATTTATGAAATCGATTGCTTTATTTTGTCCAAACTGATGGTCTGCCAGGATTTAGATCAAATTGAGGATAAATCCTGCTGTAATTCTTTACCGGCGAGCCCTTAATAATAGTCGTTGTAGGATCTTAATGAATCCCCTCAAGGGTTGTTTGGTAGCCGCTTTTAAGCAGGATTTATACTAGATTTACGCTAAATCCTGCCAAATAGCAAAAAATGATCATGTAAATCCTACAGGTTCTTAAATCCCATTTTGCCTCTATTTTTCTTTAAATCCGGGATTTATCAAACCCTGTAGGAAGCTAAATTTACATGATTAGAGAAGCTGAAAATTTAGTAAATCTTATTAAAATTATCAAATAGTTTTTTTATGAATTTATTATCATTATTTATTAACATGCCAAATAATTTTCAGAATTTATTCCACTCAAGATTTCATAAATCCGGATCTATTATATCTTATTCAAACTAAATCCTACTTGTAAACAAACAACCCATAAAAGACTTGAGCTTTTGGATGATTCACACGTAAAAGCATCAATATTTCCACGAACTCAGCGGGCATTTCTTGTCCACCAGAGCCAACCAGAACGATCACGCTTTCCACGATATTTGGAGAAAATAATATATCTCCCGGAAGCCAAATACCTCAAATTTCTGAAACGAAAACTTCCCGCGTTTTACCGTCGCAATTTGCGTAAAAAATCATCATCCAAGTTCACATCTTTGATGAATGGCTACATGCCCGCTCCAATTCCCCACTCCGGTGGAGACCGAAGGGCCTCCTATCTCCTACTCATCGCCGCCGCCTCCTCCCTCTCTCATCTCCGCCAAATCATATCCCACTCCATCGTCTCCGGCCACCACCCCGACCTCCCCACCACCACTAAGCTCATCGACCGCCACACCGACCTCTCCTCGCCCCCTTCCTCCATTCTTCCACTCGCACTGTTCCACTCTCATCCCCACCCCGATCTCTTCCTCCTCAACGTTCTTCTACGCTCCCTTCCCGCCGCCTCTGCTCTCTCCCTCTTCTCCTCCCTCCCTCAACGCCACCCCCATCTCCGCCCAGACAGCTTCACCTTCTCCTTCTCTCTTTCCGCCGCTGCATCGCTGCCTTCTCCTTCCGCTGGCCACGCTCTTCACGCTCGCATCATCGTCGGCGGCCTTGACACCGACCGCTTTATCGGCTCCGCATTGACTGAATTCTACTTCAAGTTTTTGCAAATCTCTAATGCCGAGAAGGTGTTCGATCAAATTCCCCATCCGGATACCGTTTCATGGAACTCCCGTATTTCGGGGCTTGTCCGCTGCTGCTCGTTCGTCAGAGCGGTAAGGGCCTTTGGGCGGATGTTAGAGCTTGGAAATTGCATCGACTCCACGACTCTGGCTGTTGTTCTTCCCGCCACAGCGGAACTCCAAGATCTGATTTTGGGAAAAGCCACGCATTGCTTGGGGTTGAAAATAGGCATGGCAGACCAACCCCATGTCATCACTGGACTCTTGTCGTTGTACTCCAAATGTGTTGATGTACCTGCTGCAGAAGTTATCTTTGAGGAGATAGAGAAACCTGATATCATTCACTGCAATGCGTTGATTTCTGGTTACTCTTCCACCGGTTGTATTAGATCCTCAGTTGATTTATTCAGGGATTTGCAGTTTTCGGGTTGGCGGCCCAATTCCAGCACGCTTGTAGCTCTAATTCCTGTAACCAATCCGTTTGGTTATGAGTCTCTCTGCAGAGAAATTCATGGTTTTGTGATCAAAGCCAGGCTCGTTCTGGATATGTTGGTTTCCACTGCTTTAACCACTGTTTATAGCAGACTAAATGATATGGAGTCAGCAAGGAAGATTTTTTATGAAATGTCTGAAAAGAGCTTGGCATCATGGAATGCCATGATCTCTGGCTATGCACAGAATGGCTTGACAGAGTTGGCAATCTCCCTTTTCCAGGAGATGCAAAAACTAAATTTAAAGCCTAATCCAGTCACGGCAGCCAGTATCCTCTCCGCCTGTGCTCAGCTTGGAGCCCTTACATTAGGGAAATGGATTCACCAACTAATAATTGAGGAGGATCTTGAGTTAAATGTCTATGTATGCACTGCACTGATCGACATGTATGCAAAATGTGGGAATGTTACTGAAGCTCGGAAGATATTTAATGGCATGCCTGACAAGAATGTGGTTTCCTGGAATGCAATGATATCTGGCTATGGACTCCATGGTTATGGTCATGAAGCTTTAAGGCTCTTTAGAGAGATGCTGTCTGCTCAAATTTCTCCCTCTGCTACCACATTTCTTTCAGTCCTTCATGCTTGTAGCCATGGTGGATTGGTGGAAGAGGGCCATGATATCTTCCTATCTATGTCCCATTATTATGGAGTAAGTCCACGGGCTGAGCACTATGCATGTATGGTTGATCTCCTGGGTCGTGCTGGGCGGCTTATTGAGGCCCTGGATTTCATAAAAGCAGCCCCTGTGGATGCTGGTCCTGGTGTCTGGAGTGCTTTCCTTGGTGCTTGCAGGATTCATAAGGAGATCAGCCTTGCAAAGTTGGCATCAGAAAAGCTTTTTGAGGTTGAACCAGAGAATTCTGGTTACTATGTTCTCCTCTCCAACATTTACTCGGCCAGCCGGAACTTCCCTGAAGCAGCAGCGGTGAGGGAGACAGCAAAGACAAGAAACCTTGCCAAGCTACCTGGATGCACTATAATTGAGGTGAAGGATGTTGTCCATAGCTTTACTGCTGGCGATAGATCTCACCCTCAAACTTCAGCCATCTACTCCATGTTGGAGAGTTTGCTGGGGAAGATGATGGAGGCTGGGTACCAAGCAGAGACAGAAGCAGTATTGTATGATGTGGAGGAAGAAGAAAAGGAAGAAATGATAAAGATTCACAGTGAGAAGCTCGCTATTGCTTTTGGACTTATTAATGCTAATCCGGGAAGTGAGATTAGGATCATTAAGAATCTCAGAGTATGTTTGGATTGCCACAACTGGACGAAGTTCATATCCATGATTACTAAGAGAGTGATTGTTGTTAGGGATGCTAGTAGGTTTCACCATTTTAGAGATGGCGTGTGCTCTTGTCAGGACTACTGGTGAATGGTAATTTTCTCTTTATTGTTGTTTTATTTATAACTTTCTAAACTTTCTCAAAATGTAAGAGTAATTCTTCAGTTGTATTTGCTAAAATAGGTATGTTTATAAATGTCATTTATTTCAGATATAGATTTTAGCTCATGCAGATTGTAGATGTAAAATATACTCAAGTAAGAATTTTGTTATTATTCATTTTGACTGTGCAATAAAAATCTTAGCTTTAGATGGTGTTTTATGACTATCCCATTACATCCTACTACTGAATGATAGTTTTAAAAAACTTCATTACTTTTCAAACCATGATTTCTAACCTCTAACCAAAGGAGAACTCAACAAAATGAACGATTAAAAAGTACAATTTCATCTAGTTTTTTATAATTTTATTAATATATCAACCATAAGTATATTTCTCACTGAAATATACACAATTAAATATTGACCAACAAAACTGAGGTTATTTAATTCTCTTTTTAGTTCAAGCTCGAATTAAAACCATGGAGGTGATTTGAAGTTTATCATGTCAATAGACGTCCAGCTAAATGATTACAGATACTCTTTTCCTCTAAACACATTTCAGTTTTCATTTTCTTTTTTAATATTTGAAGATTTGCTTCCATTTAGAGATTTTATGCTGCTTACAGAGAACTTAACCCAGCTGCATTAAGTGCCCTCTTTAGGCTGGAATCCTGCACCTGAAATATGGACAATTGTCAATTGAATTTTTTCCAATTCTCTAGGATAATTCAGATGCATGTATCTATAAATATTGAGATTAATTGAATAAGATTAAACTGTATGCTGAATAATTGGCAATTATAGCGACGAAATTGAGGGAGATGTTTACTGAACTAGTTACTAGATTATGAGGACAAATTTTTAAAAAAGGGGGCATTTATAAACATAACAAATATTTCTTATCTATTTACTTAAGTCATGTATATGCTTTCATATTTACACACATAACACTCAAATCTTTAATATAACATAAAGAATAGCACTACTAGTACATTTTAAAAGTGAAATACATATTTTCATACATAGATTTTAAGCACCAAAGTGCTGTGTTTGCAAATATGAAAGTTTAGAGGTGAGATATGTAATACGTAAACTTTCCAAAAAAATAAAAATCTGCTTGCATGTAGAAGGACAGTTTAAATCATACCTGCAGCTCTCCTGCCAAAGCTAGAAGTTCCGCGCAGTTGTCAAGCAGCAACCTTTCTTTTCTCGCAGTAGCTAAAAGATCAGAAATAAGAAGAGAACTTGGCCTACCTGTAAATTATGAAATATAGAAATTACTTGCAAACGCAGTTAAAAACATGTAATTTTGAGATCTTACGCCATGACAGACATATTGCCATATAATCAACAAGCCCATTGACGGAAATCCTCATATTATCATTATTTATCAAGATCTCCTTACAAACAGCAACATCAAGACAGTAGGAGTTATATGTCTTTTATTCTCAGAGAGATTGTATTAAATTTCATAATATTTGCATTAATGTAGAATTTAGAATATACTATGAATTTTTCAGGCATTCTGTAAACAGTTTCATTACCGAGAAAGAAAAATGTTTCATCTTCTTCCCTCTTACTTCTCTAGTGTATTATTTCTATAAAAATGCTAGCTTTAGTCAGATCAGAGACAAGCTTAAAGGATTCATGGGCATAATTCGGGAACGTCATTTTTAGAGTCATAAAATTATCCATGAAATATTTTTCACTTATTCTATCTTGGTTAGGGATTTGAAAGTAGGTTAGTTCAATACAAGTAAAACGTGTTTTTGGGTTGATTGAAGTTAGCTACCAAAAATCAACAATTTCGAAGAACACATTAAAGTTTACTTATTTATTTTTGAGGTGAGGAGAAGGCCACTAATAGTTAGATGGCCGCTACCGAGTAAGAAGGATGTTGGGAGCTATTATTTGACATTTTTATACATGCAAAACTCTCGTGTATATATATTTTGTCATCATCTTCCATTCATCAGTCACAAAATCTTATTAGAGGAAAAATTAGCCCAAATAGCTTGTTAAAATACATCATCAATGTTCATTGCTGTAATAAGGGGCAATCAAAGCTGAGAACAATGATCTACAAATTACCATGAAATAAAAAGAGAAAATGAGGTACAGAAAACTCTTAAGATTTATGTCATCAGGCTTCAAGTTTATAAGCATGGGAGAACAGAAAGTATTAGATCCATTAAAAATCACAAAATCCGTAAGGGTGGTGTACAAAAATAAAATAATTTTTTTTTGCCCATTTTTGAATCCAAGTATATCTGCACAAAAAGAGATAAGAAGCGCAATAGCAGTAAGATGTTTGCCTCTCACAAACATATCAACTACTAAAATGAAGTTGTCGAGAACGCTTATTGATGCCATGACCAATATTGTAATTCTATGATTAACATATTTCAAGAGAGATCAAAACTAAGAGATATGTGCTCATAGAAACTCTAGCAAATTGGGGTCTTACTTCTTCAATATCACATGAAATGATAGGCCTGAGAAAGTATATCATGAAACTCTCCAAGCATGGTTTAAGAAATCCTAGAATAACCTTCCTTTTTTAAAATCACACCAGCACATCTGAGAAAGGAAGGCATGGACCCTAAGATATTTTCTTGCGCCATATAGATCTATGTGTTGGCGGTCAATCTGTTCTGACTTATTCAAGCATTCATAGAAATCAGGGGACAGGGATAGAGTGTGCAAAGGCCCAAACCCCCCAAAAAAAAAAAAAAAAAAAAAAAAAAAAAAAAAAAAAAAAAGGGGGAGAAAACAATACAGAAGATTCTAAGATTAACATTATTTAGGTCGAACCAATAGCACATGGTGGAGGAGAGAAGATCCAATCCACTATAAATACAATCTTGGTGTATAAATGAAAGATCATTCACCTCCCTTCCCAAATGGCAAGTGCGCTCATAGCCTCTGTCTCGTGTCTTTCTCACAAGAATGCCATGGTGGGGTGGGTTTCTTCCTGCTAACACTCGTGCTCTGTAGAACAGACGAATTCAATGTAAAGTGTCTTCTTTTATGGATAAATTATTAATTATCGTTTTTTTAAAATTTTTATTTAGTCAAATTTTGTATATTCTTCTTTTGAGTTAATTCAAGATAAGTCAAATGATGACTGATTTATGCCTCGAACGGAGACAAGTGATTTGATTAATGTAAAAAAATAAGGGGCGTTACATTCATACCAATCAATTCTTATATATTTATATATCTAACCTATAAATTTTGCTTTTTTACATTTCCTTCACCCAAATGTTTCATATTCTGTCAAAATTATCATTATTTTATCTTTTAGAAAGTGAAATAAAACTGGTGGCATATATGAACAAATTAAAGTTAAATGTTAGACATGTAAATCTTCCATAAAATAATATATATAAAGTTGGGATTAAAAAAAAAAGTTATTCCATTGTATTTTTAACTTATGTTTATTTGATTGTATTTATCATTAATTTAAAAATTGTGTAAAATGAGCTAGTGGATTATAAATATAAACATAATAATAAAGATTAAATTTATTTTAATTATAAAAATAATAGCTTTATTGTTTTAAAAGGATGGATTCTTATTCCTATAAGAAGATAAGTTTAATAAATTTGAAATTATAAATTTAATAATGATTTAATTTTTTATTATTTCAGCATATAAAGGTCTTGGAAAAAAAATCCAACAGCAAAATAGCAAACAAATTATGTAGAATATAATGACAAGAATTTAAAAAAAAAAAAAACATTAGCAAACAAATTATGTAGAATATAATGACAAGAATTAAAAAAAAAACATATTTTTAAATTTGACACTATAAACTTCACATTCCCTTTAGTTATTTCATGCCATTGAATTCTTGTAATCCTTCCTAATATTTCACCCTAATTAGTCTATATGCCTTGGAGAAGATACTTAATCAATTTAAAATAAAATGACTGTCTAATTTACTTTAGAAAATAAATAAATGAATCAAGCTTTTGTTTATTTTTAAAATACATATTTATTTTTCTATTTATTTATTTATCAATAATAATAATGTACCAGTTCAATGTTTGTAAGCCTTCATGCGCAATAATTAAATGTTGAATTCATGTCTATAAACCAATGTAGCCAAGTAGATTGCAAAAGAACAATCCTTGAGTTAGGGCAATAAATGATATGATCTTGAATCACTTCAAATCAATTAAATTTTCAACCGATCATACTTAATTACAAGTTAGCATCATTAGATAATGAATTAAGCCAGGCATAGCACATTTACTTGGATCTAAATCGAGGGTGGCGGGTGGCGGTGGTTGTTGCAATAGGCAGATGATGGGTTGCGGCGAGAGGACGGTGACCGAGAGACAGGCTGCTAGCAAGGGGTGACTGATGATGATTAGTGGTGACTCCAGCGATAGCCAAGGGCAGCAAGGCCTGATAACGGATGAGTGTTGGCGGCAACTATCACTTTATACAAAATAGTGTGTTTAGAGTTCAACCGAATCAAATGAAATCAAAATACATTGAAAATAAACTAGAAAATGAATTTTGCATTATAATTTTAGATTTCATTTAGAATTCATCCCATCAAAACCCAGATTTAATGAACTACTTTTGTAGCAAACCAAACAGCTGAGTCGGTTTGAGGTAGCCTTTTCATTGCTTTGCTTCTCAGATTGCTATCACACATATGTTTGACTGCTGGTTTCTTGCCGCCTTTCAGGAGAATTGTGCAGCATGAAACTGTTTTTGAAAATCATACTAGTAAAAGTGTAGTAGCTATAAAAAAAAGTTAATATCAAATTTTTTTTAAAAAATAAAGTTTATAATTCCGACAATAACTTTTAAAAAAGTTGATTTCCTCTCAACAGCTTTACAATCACATTTACAAAAAGCTATAACCACTCCAAACAGATCATAAAAATAAACATCTAGTCCAGCACTTCAAATTGAGAAGAGCCCATTGATCTAGATGGAGACCTTTAGCTAAAAAAAATGGATGAATTAAGATTGTTACCTTAAAAAATCTCTGACAACACATTTCTGGGGATCCTTCCTCAGCCAATGCAACTTCCATCTGCAGTCAGCAAGATTTTCAGCTTAATATTGCTAATATTATGATAAAAGTAAATAAAATAATTGACAACCAATCACCATATACTCACACAGATCCTTCCATTCAGGAGCATATTTTCAGCTTAATCACTTCCTAAAAACCATCCTCCAAACAAAACCAACCATCTACTTCCCCAACAGGTTCTCCAATAACCGAATTGCCGCAGAACAACCATCCTCATCAAACAAACAACCTAACAATGCATTCCATGTGACGCCATTCGGCCAAATCCCTTCCGACAACATCTTTAATAAATAAACCAAAGCATCTTCCAATCTGCCTCGAAATGAAAGGCCAGAAATCAATGTAGTGTACGTAAATACATCGCGGCAATAGTTTCCGGCCACCATTCCTCCAACAACTCTAGCAGCATTCAAAACATTATCTTCTTTGCAGTAAGCATGAATTATTCCATTGAAAGTAATGGAATCAGGTTGAATCCCCTCAACCATCATCTTCCCAATAAGCACAAATGCTTCTTTGATCTTACCGGCATGGCTTAACCCATTTATTATAGTGTTATAAGTCACAACATTTAATTCAACTCCACTTTGAAACATATCATCAACTAACTTCAAAGTCCCCATATGATTATTCTCCCTACAAAGCCCATCTAACAACTCGTTGTAAGTTCGGGTGTTTGGCGAGCATCCTAGCCTTCTCATCTCATCTAATATATCCAAAGCCCATTTTACCTGTCCGCTGTCACATAAACCTTTGATGAACGAGTTAAACGTCGCCGTATTTGGCAGGCAATTCTCTGACTCCATGTTCTTCATAAGATTCCAAGCATGATGAAGCATATTCATCCTGCAAAACATATCAACCATAGACGTGTATACGACCACATTTGGCGTGCAACCACTTTCAATCATCTTATTCCACATCAAAGAGGCATTTTCAAAATCTCCTGATTTTGAGAATCCTTCAATCAGCGTACCAAACGAGCTAACATTAGGGGAACATCCATTTCGATCCATCTCATTTAACATGTCCCTCGCCTTCTTCAGATTTCCATTCAGACAAAGTCCGTGAATGAGAATATTGTATGTTATAATATTGGGAATATGCCCATCTTGATTAATTTGTTTCCATATATCAACAGCTTCATGAAATTTACCATTCTCAAAGAAACCTTTTAACAGCGAAGCGAACGTATGCATATTAGGGGTGCAACCTGTTACCAACATCTTAGCAAAAATAGCAAGAGAAAGCCTCAGATTCCCCATCTTACAGAGCGCATTAACTATTGTTGTGTAAGTGATTACATTGGGCTGCAACCCTTTATCTTTCATTTCAAAAGCTAAATGAACAGCTTCCTTAACTCTTGATTCTCTGCACAAGCCATTTATCAGAGCATTACAAGTTTGGATGGAGGGGTTTATCTTACAAACCAATTTTTTTGCCTCCTCCAATCTCCCAGATGAGCAAAAAGAAGTGACTAATGTAGTGTAAGTCACCGAATCGGGTAAATGTCCTCTACGAGACATTTCCTCTAGCAGTTTATAAGCGGCATCAAAACGGCTATTCTGGCACAGAGCTTTGATTAATACATTATAAGTGAAAACGTTTGGCAATATTGCTTCTTTTTTCATGTTATTATAAATTGAGCCTATGGCACTGAACTTACTTTCTTTGAGTAACGCGTCTAAAAGATGATTGTAAATCTTCACCGTGGGCTTGCAACTGAGATCGATGCTACGATAAAAGGTTTTGAGGGCGTGATCAGCCGACCCGAGGTTGGCATAAGAATTTATAACACTGATAATAATGGCTTCGGTGCAGGGAAGGCCTTCAAGCTTCATCTGCTGAAGAAGGTATTGAATAGCATCCATTTTCTTTTCACCACCGAGCTTTTCAATCATAATTTGGTATGTTCGAGGTGTGTGTCGAAAAGACTGGGAATCGACAACAGATTTAAAATATTGTAATGCGATGGTAATGTTTGTTTCTCGATGCAGTCTGTGGAGTACATCGAACTCGCTTGGAGGAGGATGATTTGGAGCTTTAGGTTGTGGAGGCTCAGAAGTTAGAATGGTGTTTAGGATCACAGAAACTGATGGCCTTTGGGCCTTCAACAATAGTGAGGGTCCCTCTTTTAAATACATGGTTAAGGAAATCTATACTCCAATTCTGCAAAACCAAACCAACAAACAGTATTGACATAACTAACTTTTTCTTTTAAATTGATAATAGAATTTAAAGTTGATAAACTAGTTGAAATCGGACTCAAAGATTTAAGCCAATAAATGTAGGCAAGGTGTAACACATTTAAATAAATATTGCTGAACAATTTTAAATATATACCCCAAAGACACACTTGTCCTAGAAAATCTCCCCTATAATAGAGTTTGTAAAATCAGCAAGCACAAAACAAGGCATACCAAAGAGTTCGCACTCCAAATGGTAAAGTAAAAGAGCCACTTGGTCAAATCCCCGTCACTGATACGCCAACATGGGAGCTACAACTTGTATTGAATGTTCAAGCCAACCAAACCATGGATTTAGTATGGATTTAAAAGATGTGAATCACTGCAAGTCCAAAGTAAGCCTTGTTACACCATATAAATATACCCATCCTGCCAAAAGGTTTAAGTTAATGAGAGAAAGCACACCAACAATATATTGACGTAAAAACACAAAGATACTTTCAATCATCCATGTGGCTAGACTAAAATCATTTTTGTTAGCCACAATCATGAAAAAGAAAGGTTAAATGTTTAAGTTAATAGCCAACAATTCAACATATGCCAAATAACACAAGATTAATCCTAAATTGATATTGACTAAAGTCAGGAGAATAACTAGAAACAATGTGCTACGATTGAACCCAACTATGTTAATGAGTGAGCAAGGATTGGCTTCATAACTTGACTTAATTGTGATAGAAGTAGAAAAGGTTGACTTGAATACCACTTACCAATTGATGTTAAGACTTAATCCAATATTTAAGAGAAATAGACAAAGCTTAGCTAGAACTTTCCTATGACCACCTTGTCTCCTCTTTGGGGGTGCCTGGTTGTCCTGTTTTAACGTGACTATCGTCTTGACGTCCGTAAATCTGCCAAATGCAAATTTTGAATGCGCTAAATCCAGTCGTCCACTAAATCCAAGATTTTCTTGTGTCCTAACATAAATCTCGGATTTACTAAGTCCTCTCAAGATTTGGATTTACTGGATTCAAGGAGAGTTGAAATAATAATGTGATAAATCCGGATAAAATGTCAAACATAAGAGACGTATTTAAGCGAATTTAACATCTTCTTGGATTAAACATCACCGGATTTTATAAAATCCAGTTTACCGGGTTTACTAAATCCTACTTAACCTTCTAGTATGCATGCTCATAATTGGCCCTTATAACTCACAATGGGATGAATCTATTCATTTCCAAGTGACTATTTTTCTCAATTTCCAAAACACGTCATAAATTATATCAATAAAAGGGCACAACAACACAAATTCAGTTCGAAATTAAGAAAAAAAAATGCAATTAAACGGTCTAAGCATTGTTGCTAACAAAGTTATATACCATTTAACATCATTAACAACCAAGGCCGGCATTTTAATTTACCTCGGCATCAGCGCAATGGAGGAAGAAGGATACTAGGGCTGTGAAATCAGCGGTCTACCAGTTCCCACACTGGAGGGGAAGGGCTGAAAAGAGAAGAGGGAAAATGAGCGATGAAGGCGACAGAATCTAGACATCCGACCCTCAAACAGACGGAGATTCTGATATCTCTCCCTCGCTTGCTTGCTCGGGAAGAGATGGGGAAGAGCATAGTAGGCAACGAAGAGACGGCAAAAGTTGGAGGGTGTAGCCTCGCCGGCGGCTACTCGCAGCACGTAGGTGCTACCGCGGCCCTTCCTGCGCGACGCCGGGAAGGTGATCTCTTCCAATCGAGATCCGGCGAGCCCACACAAAAATAACATGCATACCAAACAAATCAGTTTGACATTCAGATTTACGCTTCAGCGTCTTGAATTTAAGTATAAAATTTTATTTCAATTTTAAAAATAAATAATAGTAATATTTATTAGAAATTTAAATGCTGTGCATAAATGGGAGGAGAGAGATTAAGAGTAATGAATAGGATTTGTTTTTTTATAAAATGTTTATACTATTTATAGAGGAGGTAATAGACTTGTGATATTACATTTTTACTCTTATTTGGAGGAAGTCTTTACTGGAATTTTTATCATTCCTGATATTTTACGAGTGTGAGCTTATCGTCCCAACATATTTTGACTAGGTCGGGTAAGATTAGTTGACTATGATCGACGGGGTCAACCCAGTTGGTTGAGCTTCTTGTTAGCTTTGGTATGTTGATTTAACCTCGTTGATTATCTTTAGTATCTGATGAGTAGTCTTTGGATCTCCGTGGAATGATCGTTGATATTTTTTAAAACTAGCACTTTAATTGGGTCAACTCCGCTATGAGATAGGCTAGCATATCGGGTCAGCTTTCTTGCCAGGGATGGGTCTCATCACCAATCGAATAGCTTACACTTAGATCAGTGTCTTTCTCTTGCCCTTTTGGCTCAATCAATTTTTTATAAAATGTTTATACTATTTATAGAGGAGGTAGTAGACTTGTGATATTACATTTTTACCCTTATTTGGAGGAAGTCCTTAGAGTGTGAGCTTATCGTCCCAACATATTTTGACTAGGTCGGGTAAGATTAGTTGACTTTGATCGACGGGATCAACCCAGTTGGTTGAGCTTGGTATGTTGATTTAACATCTTTGATTATCTTCAGTCTCTGATGAGTAGTCTTTGGGTCTCCGTGAAATGATCGCTGATATCTTCAGTCTGGTCAACTCCACTGCGAGATAGGCTAGCATATCGGGTCGGCTTTCTTGCGAGGGATGGTTCTCATCACCAATCGAATGGCTTACACTTGGATCATTGTCTTTCTCTTGCCCTTTTGGCTCAATCAATTTTGGCCAAATTGACTTGGCTAATCCAATCAAGTAGGGCTCACGATTTCTTTGCAGTGGATTCTTTTGTTTTGGACAACTATATCTCTTTAAGATCAATGCAAACACCTTCTCAATGTAATAGCTTATGCTTTATACAGAAAAACTAATAAAAAATTAAATTTATAAAAATAAATGTTTTATCACCAAATCTATAAGAACATACTAAGTTAATAACCATATAAAAATATGATTGCCAATCATAGATAAATCAAAATTGAGCAAGTCAAAAATAAGAAAAAAAGGGGTAATTTGCATAAATTGCACTCATTTCTAATGTATTTAAGTATCTCATATCAAAATTTTTACTTTTACACACATCACCCAAACTAGCACTAATCACATTTCTCAACAGTGAAATCCACATTTTCTTACATTGGTAAGGTATTGTGTCTGTGCCAACAAAAAATTTGATGTGAGAAAAATAAGAATTGGGTGCTACGTAGGGTAGATTTCCCAAAAACAATTCAGTAAAGGCAGCAGAAGTGCCAATCAAACCATTTGCATTAATGGAACTGAATCAACCTGACTCAGCAAAACAATCAAACCCAACGAAACAAAATCAACCAAATGAAGTAACACACATTTCATCAATATATAGATGTATATATTCGAAAATAAATCTCAAAACAAATTGCAACATCATCAAGTAAAGAGGTTTGTAACCAAGCCAACATACTCAAACCAAATTTACATTCTACCAACATTAGATTGCTACAAAATATAAAAAAAACACAGTTTAAGCTTCATACTTATAAATAGGGGTGTACGTTCAGTCGGTCTGGATTGATCGGTTTTAAAATTGGTCAAACCAAATTCTGAAAATCAAATCAATCTAAATTTTGATAAAACCGAACAACACAGTTTAAGCTTCATACTTATAAATAGGGGTGTGCGTTCAGTCGGTCTGGATAGATCAATTTTAAAATTGGTCAAACCAAATCCTGAAAACCAAACCAATCTAAATTTTGATAAAACAGAACTGAAATTTAATTTGATTTTAATAGTTTGATTATGAAAAAAATCAAAATTTAATTGTTTAATGAAATTTAGCTAAGAACAAACATTACAAATCACATTTCTTATTCACATAATATCAACTTGATTTCATGAATCATCTATTTATTTCAATTAAATATTACATATAATAATTTTTTTGATTTTTTTAGTTTATTCCACATAAAATTAAAATATAATACAAAATTTTAATAAAATTTGGGTTTTTCGGTTTGTTCGATTTAATGAAAATTAAAAATGAACCGAAAACCGAATATCATATTGAAGTTTTAAAAACCAAAAACTAAAATTCAATTTTGAAACCAAACCGAAGGTTTGGATTTCGGTTTTGATTAGATAGTACACACCCCTACTTATAACATGTACATATCAAATCCTGCAACAACATTGAATTTAAAACTTACAAAAATAAAATTAATTTCTAAAATTTGAGCCATCTCTTTTCCTTCTCCTTGCTCATAACAGCATTAGAGGCCGACACATGAGCCGCCTCAGCATCTGCAAGCAACTTCCGTGCCTCAACCAATTTCCTAGATGCAGCCTCGAAAACCGCCTTCTCCTTTCGATTCCGATTCACCATTTCTTCGATCTTCTCGACACGAATTCTTAACTCTTTCACTTCATCCTCATAAGCGACCAATGATCTTCTATCCTCAACCTTTACCTTATCTTCTGAATCTCCAACCCTTCTCTTCACTTTACTCCCTACATTGCTGGAAGCAGCATTAAGCCCAGTGAGATGATTATTAATAAAGCTAAAAACATCTGTTTCCTCTTCCTCTTCAGCTTTAGCAACTCTTTCTGCTTCTGCAATCTTCTTCTCCTGCTTCCTTCTGCCTCCTCTACTCCTTTTTCTACCTCTGCCAACACTATTTTCTTCTTTCTCGTTCGACGCAAGAGCATGGTCGAGCGATTGTCTTGAAGGAAGAACTCTAACAGATATTGGATCCAAAGTTCCTTGACCTGCGGCACCTAATCCCATGCCTTTACGGTATCCCATGTTGGCCATCATTTTTGATGCAATGCCCCTCGTGTGATGTTCCCATTTCGCAAATACGGCAGTTTCAGTCTGAATTCCTCTTAGAGAAGCAGAGGATTCCAAAAACCCGATGCCTCGATGAACTGATCCATTCGCAAAATTGTCTTCATCGCTGGAGCTGGAGCTCTCATTGCTGAGACTGTCTTCATCATCACCGTCTGAGGAGGAGGTTACATCAGCATACTCTGACATGGAGAGAGCTTCGCTGCAGAGTGAGGCCGAGCTTCCATCATCCTGAAAAATAACCTGACCCAAGCATAGTTTGTCGTCCCAGGCTTCGAGCTCCGCTCTCCTCCAAATGTTCGAATGGCCTTCCGATATAGCCCATATGTTGGAACCAACCAAAGACTCACACCATGAGGCCGGAATGTAAGGCTTCAGCGATGAAAATGGTATGCTAAATCCTGTGTAGATTGGCAATAAATACTAAGTAGGAGAACTTAATGGCATTTTGCCATTAGAAGAACTTAATGGTATCTTGCCATTAGAAAAAATCTCACTCCCACTTTCATGTATAGAACTATATATATAGAATCAAACAATAAAACAGAAGGAAGCATGTGAATTAGCTTAAAGATACTCATCTCTTACAATTATTATATACATGAACTATGCAAAGAGTTAAAATTGCTAACCAATCAATAAAAATTGTTTTGCCACCATCAACGTTTAATGTAACACAGTATGAAGTGAAATAAATAATATGCCTAAAAATTAAATTTGAAACAGAAGAAAGATGATAAAGAGGGTAGCTTTCTTGGGATGAGCCTATTAGATGACAACAACATACCATGAGACATGCGGCAGTTACTACCAAAACGACATCGTTGCCGTAGAAAGAACTTGCACATCTGCACTTTGGGCAGACATGTATTAGAAAATAAATATTCGACAAGAAAAGAGTCTTCAATAGTTCTAAGAAAGATGCTGAAAAGAAGCAAAAATTTGTGTCACCAGAACGAGAGATTTATTATGTTTTCTTTTGGGGCATTTGCATACATACCACCCAATTCCCATGTATTTACTGCCTAGCACCTAAAATTTACTTTGTGATACTGCCCAATTCTTTAATATCACGTCAAAAATACTACTCTTCTAACTTTAAAAATATGAAACAAACATTTTTCAATAAGGTGACATGTATGTATAAATTGAGGTTTAGGTGCTAGATATGTAAATACCTATCTGATGGGTTTAGGGTTAGATATGTATACATAGGCATTAACTGGTATGTATGTAAATCTTCCATTATTTTTTGGAGATCAAATAGCACGTACATCCATAAATGTGAGACGAGCAATCTCAATCTAGAATTTAGAATGCACTGTAAATAGGCAGGGACTTACACGCTAAAGGGAACTAGAAATAAGCCAAAATATTCAGAATATATAGTGTCAATAATATATCGGTTGTAGCTGTAAAGAATGGGAAGGCTTGAACTTGACATACACAGGCCATATGAGCAGTTAAAAAGCACTGCTCAGCCTTTTGATTACTTATTCTTTATCAATATTTATGAAACATTTTAGATTTATGATAAAAACCAGTTTAAAACCAGACTTCAAATGGAACCAAGAGCCTATACCCAGATCTGTCTATAGAATGAAAATGGATAGTTACGTAAGTGAAAACAAGATATGAAATTTTACAGAGAGGAATGAAATGCGCGCTGGAAAAAGAACCACTTCTTTGCTTAATATCTTTTAGTTAGTTGCAATGGAATGTCCACATGAGTTCTTCAAAATCCAAAAGATTAGCGAATGAACAAAAAGGATGGGCATTTTAGAATTTTCAAACAACTGATAAAACAGCTTAAGTGGAATAAGGCACAACTTCTAATTGAATCGCACAAAGTATATTAAGGTCTCTAAAAAAAATGAACTTCCAAGAATCTGAAATTGGCTGGTAAAGATGTTATAAAATATATAGAGAACATATGGAAATTTTGAAGCATTACTAATGTAAAAAATTGGATTACAGAAGCACGGACACAAACCTGCACACACTAATATCATAAATTGTAACACTGATCATTCAAAGATAATATCATGAATAAGCACAAATTCAAACAGACAAAAGAGACAAAAAAAAGACAGAAAGAACTGAGCAAGCAAACCGTGTAAGTGTTTGCTTTAAAAGCCAAAAGAATAGAGCCTTGAGAAGAATATGTTTTTCAAAGTTTGCATATGTATTAAAATATCACAAAGATAGAACTCAAAGAAGAATAACATATACCTTAAATCACCATCCCTTTCATGAGTTTAAGTAAATACCGAAAGTACAACGGAAAACTAGATATTATGCAAATTCTATTCAAAATCAAGGAACTCGTTAACATATATTTTGCTTTTAAAAAAAATTAAAAAGCCAAAGTACCCACCAACATGCTTTCAGAAGTAGGATTGAGAAATGAGATCCTGGCAGTATTACCACCATCAAGAGCCACTATATGACCATTATACCAACGTCCATCACTATGGCGGAATCTACACTTTGATCCGATAGAATAAGTTCCTGATTCAGAAGGTTCTAGAAAACTATGTTTTGAATCCAGTGGTTCCACCTTTACATCCTCCTCCTCCAAGGATTCAAATTCTTGGCCAAAAATTGCATCAGCTTCCTTCAGCAATCTAGAACGCTTTAGATGAAGTAGTCCCTCTTCTGCATCCTTGATTGCCATCTGAAGTTCTTCAAGAACCTTCAAAAGCAATACAATAACAGTTTATGGTGCATTACCATACAAAATTGAAATATACAATAATTCATTAAGTGGAAAGCATTCCCTAAGCAAATCATTCTAATGTATAACTTAACCAAGCCATTCCATGCTTGGTAAGATGACATGCATGATTTTTCAGCTTATTTATTGAAAATAACAGATTATTTCTCTTTTGATCTCTTTGCAATCTATAATTTCCGCCATATTTCTTCTCATCTACATATTTGGCTCACATCATTTGTAAAAATCAAATCAAATTATATCTCTTTATAATTGTCCCAAATAATACATACTTCAAAGACTACCATAAACACCTCATAGCCCTTTTTTAGTCATATATTACTGATCTAAGGAAATCATTGAGTTTACAAGAGCCTTGATGGAGCGTGTAAGTATTCTTGGTCAAAAAAATATCATCCAACCAACTAATAGCAAGATGTTCAACATTGTATTGCTTCAAGGTTATTAGCTTCATATTGTTTACGAACAACTCGTATGTTAAGGGGCTCTTTAAATAAAGAGATAGGCTTAAGACTTCAAAATTATTGTGGCTGTCTTCTCTCTTCTGTGAAATTGGTCCCTTCATTGTGAATTTTCTGCAATTTCATGGTTTTCTGGCACGCTAAATGCAAGTTTATTGACCTTCTAGCTCTTTTCTAACGACAAGAAGAAGAGAAATGAAAAACTGAAATATTAAATTGAACTTATTAGGAACCTAGATAAGCATGGGCACACAAAAAAAAAGATGGAAATTGAGAAAGTATTTTTATTTTTTTATAATTAAGTTAAATGTATTATAAACGAATATAATAGGATCTTAAATTTGGAATCATCAAAGAAAGGTGAAATTGTTATTTTCAAAAAACATTAAATGCGGAATTCAATGAAGATTTTTTTTTCCATAATACATATACTTGTAAAATATTAGTTTAATTTTCCTCCCAAAAATAAGTTACAATAGCTTAGAAAAAACATTTAGGTAAATCCTTAGATACAATTATATATATATATATATATAGATATATCTTGGAACTGGGTAAATTATAAGAGACTGCAGAGTATTATGGTTAACAAATCTTTTCAATTGACTATTAAACACTGATAGGATGCCAACCAATTGGAAAAAAAGTATTTTGAACAAGTTATAATGAAACAAAGAGAAGTAGGAAGTTGGAAATATTATAAAGTACTCAACTTAGAAAAAAAATTTTATAAGAAAATGATGCGTGACGATGATGGAGCATAAGCAAGGAATCAATTTAACTTAATAGCAAAGATCCATTATGGATGTGCTTTCTGTACAAAGATAATTAATCAAAATATCTATAAAGAAAATAATTTCTTTTCAGGTTGTTATTCATCTTAAGAAGGCACATACTCAAATACCACAATAAATGATTTGGTTTGTATCAACCAAAAATATAGGTTTGAGAGATATGTTTAGGTTATTAAATATATGTATGGCAGCAGTCGAATAAAATAGTTCCTAATAATAGTAATGACTAGAGTAAACATGAAGTCTCTATCCCTCTATATTGGTATGAAAATTCTTGCAAGCAATATTAAACTTAGGATGCTTTAGAGAATGTGCTATTTATAAATATATAATTCCAATAGATGAAACCTTCAAAGAAAAAAGTGGAAATTAGAAAAATAAATAAATTTTAAAAACATGCAATGATCAAGAATAATATAACTTATGTAGATGAAATAAAAACTTCGTATATGTGAAATTTCTAATTATCAATCAATAATGTTTGAAAATCAGTTCTTACAGATAAGTGGTGAGTCTAGTGTTGATGGGTTGAACTTATTATAAAGAACAATGGGACACAAATAAAGATATGGCATCTAGTGTTATGGCTAAGTCAGTAAAATGAAGAAGTGCCTCAAAGGTACCATGCAACAAAAGAATTCCAAAGATTTGATAAATTTGGTATAATTAAAAAAGTGTTAGGTCATGATGTGGTCGTCAATAGCAATTTTAAGTGTGTTAGAAATTACCGAGATGGATATATTATAAGTTAGAAAGAGTACATAAGAAGTAGAACATCTTAAAGTATAAAGTTTTGAAAAAATGTAGTTATGTGGTTTGGGATGTACAATAAAGAGTAAATAAAACACTAATAGAACAGTTAAACAAAACATATGTGAAAACATTTAGAAAAAAATAGGTGGACCAAAAGTATCGTATGTGGAATTTATGCAAAAAATATTTACACAAAATATAGTTCGCAACTTATGTAGAATTCATCTATAATGAATAGAGAAAAACAATATATAAAGCCAACCCTAATGATGCTCATGTTGAGCCTCCACCTACACCAGAGTCACATCTCAATGTCTCACCATCTGTAGTGCCCATCTCCCCTTATATATAGTGCTATTAATCTATTATAAGCTCTGCGTTCTTTTTAAAATCATGTAACATTTTCATTTTTATTGTGGATATCAACATGGTAAGGTTTATTGAAAAAATCTGAAGCACATTTATCCATGTAACAATGACGTACTACTCTTTTAGAACCCTAAATTGAAAAGTGAATGCATTGTCATTCATGATCTCTCAATTTGGTGCTTCAACCAATAACATTTTTTCAATTAAGCCTTACTCAACATCCACATTTTGCAACTTGAAAACTACTTCCACCACATAAATCAACAAAATAAGAAAAAATATTTCAATGTAAAACGAGTGTATTTCTTGTTCTAGATCATATTGTACCGAAATCATGAATCTATTACCTTTATTTAGGCAAGGAAGATCAAAGTTTTTACGATAAATAGAAGTAGAAGAAACTATAAAATTTCGATCACCCTGGGCATGATTTGATAACGTTTTGAGGAATCAAGATGATTTGATAATGTTTTGAGTAATCAAGAACCAGCTATCTTTCAATCAAAAGTAATATACTCAAGAAGCGAATATATTTTACCGTCGCATTGGTAAAAAAAAATGTTGAGGGTATTTAATGAAAACAAATAGTGGAGATTCAGTAGGACCTGATAATATCTCAATTGAAGATGGGAAAAATTTAGGAGATTTGCGAGTTTTTTGGCTTACTAAATTCTTTAATAATGTTTTAAAAACTAAAAAGATGTCTAAGAAATTGAAGAAGAGTATTTTGGTTCCCATTTTTAAGAATAAAGGGGATGCACAAGGGTGTGCAAATTATAGAGAAATTAAGTTAATGTGTCGTACTTTAAAATTAAAGTGATTAAAGTAATTGAACATAGGTTTAGACGTGATACAAAGATAATCAATTTGGATTTATGTCGAGCATGCCTACGAGGAAAGTTATACATTTATTGAGAGGTTTGATGGAGAAGTACAAATAGAGTATTGAGGATCTACTTATGAATTTTATTTATTCAAAAAAAACTTACGATAAGGTTCAAAGAGAAGTCCTTTGAAAAGTTATAGAGAAGAAAAGTGTTGACTTATATTCAAGTCATTATGTATACTAGAGTTGTTACTTGTGTTCAAATAGGAGAATTGACAAGGTAATTTCCTATTTCAGTTGGATTACATCAGGGGGGTTGGGATTTAAGCCCATATCTTTTTGCATTAGTTATGGATACTCTTACTGAACAATTGCAGAAGAATGTACCTTGGTGTATATTTTTCGCCAATGAAATCCATCTTGTGGATAAGACTACTTGAATTATGGAGGTCTGTATTGGAGTTTAATGACCTTCGTTTGAGTAGATCTAAAATTGAATACATAGAATGTAATTGAATGTAATTTTGAATACATGGAATGTAATTTTGTAGTAGTAGCTCTAGTGACAGAGTTGTAAATATGGGTGATCAAATCATTAAAAGGTGAGGGCCAATTGTTCAAAGTGATGGTGATATGGATGGGGATGTTATTAGCATAATTCAAGTTGGTTGGTTGATGTAGAGGAATGCATCAAGCTTGTTGTGTGATAAAAAAGTATCGCTTAGACTAAAAAAAAATTTGTAAGATTGTGGTGAGATCTGCAATGCTCTAAGGCACAGAATGTTGACCTTTAAAAGAGAAGCATAATACAAAGTTAAGTGTTGTTGAGATGTAACGCTTAGGTGAATGAGTGGCTTGACAATTAGAGACAAAATATGAAATGAATATATTCGTGATAGGATTGGTGTCACTTCAGTGGCGGACAAGATTGGAGAATTCGTCTTAGATGGTTTGTTCGCATTAAACGTCGACCATCTAGTGATATGGTTAGAAGAGTAGATGTTTTGGATTCAACATATTTTAAGAAAGACAGAGGTAGACCTAAAAAGACTTAAGCAAATTGTATTAAAAAAAATCTTAATATATTAAATTAAATGAAAATATGACTCTCAAAAAGGGCACAATGGAGAAAAAAGATTCATGTAGCTGACCCCACTTAGTGGTATAAAGGCTTGTTGTTGTCGTCGTATCATCTTTCCATCCAACTAAGGGTGCAGGACAATAACTTTTTATGATATGCATGATCCATGCTTGCAGCCATAAAATCATTAACTCAAAATAAAGGAAACGAAACATAGAAAAGCTATCATCGTTGAATTCAGATGGTTCTTATCGTTTGTATGAAGTAAGAAAAAAATTTATTTCCTGGCTAAAATCAAGAACCATACATTCCAGTAGGTGTCAATGACTGAACAGTAAACAAATCTAGAAACAAATGTGCAAAAATTACTGTTTTAAAGCACAACAATGATTCACAATATTGACACCAAAGAAAAATAAAGTACTCCGAGGTATTTATTTACACGTCCGATGCGACGACGCCGAACAAGGTAAATACAGATCGACATACACCCTAACTGCAAACCCTCGCACTTCACCCTCCTGAATCGATAACTTATTTTATTACTTGTCACAGAACTCGAGCAAATAGAAAGCAAATAACGAAGATAATAAGCCCTAGACGAGGGTTCATCTTACCCCGATAAGCTCTGGATTGGTGGGGTCAGTAGCGAGGGCCTCCTTGACTGTCGACAAAGAATCTCTCTGCTCTTCCAAGTGCGCTTCCAGCTGCCGTTCAACGTCAGTCTCGTCATCTCCGGCGCTGTGGTCCGCCATGATCCGATGAGAGAAAGAGCGGAAGTGATTGATTCATTATATATGCCGAGGGCAAAAAATATTTCGTCCCGGCGCTGCATTGGGCTGCTCTGGTTTGGCATGTGCCGGACTTGTATGGGTTTCCATTATTCAAAATCAGGGTCAAATTTGTGCTCGATTTTTACTTATAATTTTGTGGTCTTGCCCGCCTCTATTAAACGGGTCGGACCCGCACATGGGCTATGTGCGGGGATTAAAAGAAAAATTATTTTTTCAAACGGAATGCATTCTGATTTTTATTAATTAGAAAAAAAATTAGTTTAAGATCATTTTGTTTAAATAATTCTTTAAATAATTATATTTTTTATAAATATGAATATAAATTTAATTTTTTTAATTAATTACCTATGTATTATTATTATTTTTTAAAAATTTTGAGATAATTTTTTTTATAGCATCGAATATGAGAGGTTGGGTGATCGTCATTCGTCTCATTCTGCGCAATGTATCTAAGATAAAAGCTTTGTCGAACCCAACAAATGATAACGTTGTGATAACTGAAGGTCAGGAATTGTTAGTGTTTCAATACTTGGAAGCGGTTGTTGTCAATATGGTCCTTGGGCCAAAGTCGTTCAGCATCATGATTGAAGCGATGTAGGAGAAATCCAATGCCGAGGAGAAGAAGATGCTTAAAGTTGCAGCGGGGAGGGACAGAAAGAAGAAACTGTAGGCGAAGATTCCCCTATAAAAGGGAAATACATCTTTCTGATTGTGAAAGTCGTCGGGTGCCTTCAGAGCCGTTGTTCTCTTTTTTTTGTCTCAATTTGTTTTTGTTATATGGTAAGGGGACCTCCGAGAGATGTCGTCTGAATTGTCAATCTCCTATGAGGCGAATTATAGAGAGGAGGCAACTCCGTCCAACGAGCTGGTTGAGAGGGAAGAGCTTGTTGTCCCTTTCATCGACCCTCAACAAAGAGCTACGACTCGACAATAGTCTCCAGTTGAGGTGTTATCCGAGTTGGATGAAAGGGACCCCATGAATGAATTCCGAGAGGAGAAGATTCTCCGCCGGAAGGGAATGAGCTGGTTGGTTAAAGTTTATCACCATCCTCTCCTATGTTGCGGAAAGAACGAGGTGGCTCAGCGGAAAGCTGGGGGAAAACAATGTGTGGGCAAGTTCTGGCAGTCGATACTTTATGGTATACTCTAATTAGGACTGGTAAATCGGTATGGCTCTAGAGAAGGAATCTGAGGCTGCTGAGTGCCCAAATTATTTAGCGAATGTGGTTCGGTCAGAAAGCCTCAATTTTATGTTGCGAAGGAAGGATTATGTCGACCTATGGGGAGGTCGTCGACAGATTTAGCCTTCTCCTCAGGTCGATAGGAGTCAGGACACCTTCAGTCAAAGGCCCTTATTTGCGAAGAACAAAAAAAATGGTGATCGATCAATTCGTCTCAAAGATGGTTGCGCCCTAGTGGAAGGTTGAGGGGGCACTTCATCGTATTGTGAAGAGGCTGGAAAAACAACTCGCTAGTTGAGGTCAAGGGAGAAGAAGCATGGGATGGTTGTGGCAACTCTGACATAGGAAAACAAAGTACACAAATAGAAAATGACCAGGGTGATCTCCCTGAAGCATCACGTCAATGCATCATGTGAGCAGATACTGGTCGTGTTGGTCATGACTGCTGAGCACTTCATAAAGAAAATGTTGGTGGAGTCCAAATGCACTAACATAAACAGCTTACCACCCAGTTTAGATAAAGACAACAGTGGGGTAAACGGTTTCAGCGCAATAGGAGATTGTAGCGACAATGGATTTGCAGGCCCTGGGCCTTTCATAACTTTTCTCATTTTGTGATATGTTTTCCTTTTTGAAAATATTTGTGTCGCTTGTCCATTCTTGGCTAGCAGGTATTCGCACACTTAAAGAAAAATTTTGTACATTTTTGTTATCAAAGGAATGAATGAAAAATCTTTCTTGCTTTTTTTTACTTATTTTGTTTAGTTTACTTTACCTTTAAGGACTTTCTGTAAGGTGTGTGCTCGTGTGGTAGTTAACAATTACCTATATAGCTCCACAAGATGATTCATCATTTGACCGTGAAATCTCATCTGGGTGTGAATGCATTTTGAATAGGTTGAGATCTGATCGGGCAATCTATGTGTCCAGGCTGATCATTTTTTTGCGTTTTGAATTAACCAAACAATCTTGATGTCGTGACTAGCCTTCTTTAGTGTTGGGCTTGGTTGGCAAAATTTGCGTCGTAGCCAGTTGTCTTTGGTTTTATGCTTTACCGGATGATCGGAGCTGCGACTAACGATTTTCAATTTATGCTCACTCAAATGATCTTGGATCTATGGTTGGCTTCATATATATGCTCAGTTGAGTTATCATGGAACTGTAACTGACAGTTTTCAATTTTTTTATTGTTTTCAATTTTTACGCTCATTTGGGTGATCTTGGAGTCGAGGTTGATCGTCTTCAATTTTGTGGCTCGGTCAGAATATCTCGGTCAGTTGTCTTTTTATTCTTTGCTTGGATGAACGGTATTAGCATCGCGATGTGCTGTGTTCAATTTTTAGGCACAGTCGTGTGATCTTAGAGCCACAACCAACTCTCTTCAACTTTGAGGCTCGATCGAGTGATGTTGGCACCGCGACTGACTGTCTTTGGTTTTACACTCAACAGAGCGGTCTTGGTGCCGCTTTTGATAGTCTTTAGTTTTTTGTTCAGTCAGATGCTTGGTGTCGCGGCTGGTTGTCTTTAATTTTTAGGCTCAGTCGGGTGATCGAGGTGTCGCGACTGGTTTTCTTTAACTTTGGGGCTATACCAAATGACCTTGACACCACAGCCAAGTGTCTTCGATTTTGTGCTCAGTCGGATGGCCTTGGCACTGCGGATACGAATCTTCAATTTTATGCTCAGTCGAACAATCTTAGCATTGTGACTGGTATTTCTTTCGTTCCCGGAGCATTAGGTATGTGTTTATGTCATTCTTTGATTTTTTCCTAGTTACTCAAGTGTTTTTATAGCTCGAAAATTTTTAGAATTTTATTAGCAAGTTGTTTGTTTATTATATATGTGTCTTTTGGTTGAGTAGTGTAAGAAATTTTGAGTTATAATTGAAATGAGAGAACAAGTGCTTTTCATTTAAAATCCTTGTTATAAGAGAAACAACAGTCTTATGAAAAAGATATTTTGAGGTCTTTTCATTTAAAATCCTTCTTATAAGAGAAACAGTAGGCTTATGAAAAAGATATTTTGAGGTCGTCCCAACCTTACTTTTGAGGGACCTCATTTCATGCATAGGTTTTTAGCTTGTACGCTCTAGGTCCTGCGTGGCAATCAATGATGTTGATGTCTTGATTTTGTTAATTTGTATTGTATACTAATTCTTTTCACTGCATTTTCTTCTGCTCAATTGTAGACAATTGATAAATTGCATAATAACTTTTGAAATTAGCCAATTCACCACATGTGTATTGGTTGTGCAGCATTACTTGACACTTTGACCCTATGTCATTTCATTTTCCCCCATGATTTTGATAGATATTTACTTTAGATAAGCAGCATTTTGACTGAATCAATGGTTATGAGTTTATCAAACCTTGATTGTCCAACAAAATTATCTTTACTTTTGTTTGATGTTATGCATTTTGTGGTGAATATGGAGTTGATTTAAAGCAATATTAAGATCTACCTCAAACATTTCAAATGGCTTCCACATAAGCACATCTAATTTATTATGATTTATATCAATTTAAGTGTGTTCCAAAAGTATCTTCTAAGGGTCAGTGGATTAAAAATTCTCATAATCATGTCAATAATTAAGATCTCAAAGCATGCCCTAATCCCACTTTAGTTCTTTGCTAGGCACCATCCACATAAATTAGTCATCTCTACTGGTTGCTTTAACCTTATTCCCTCGACCTCCTCTGTCATGAGAAAATTGCCAGGAAATCTGCGATAGTTTGGTCTTTGATGTCCGCCTGGAGAACGTATGTGATGTCAAACTCACTTAGCTCCACTAACCACTTGAGTAGCTGGCTAGGGTGTTCTGAACAGGTAAGAACCAACTTCAGCAGGTGTTCTAAAATCATATGGATGAGATGCATCTGAAAATAAGGTCGCAACCTGTGGGTTGACACAATTAAAGCAAGGGTTTGTTTCTCAATAATTGGATACGTGATCTCCACCCATTGAAGAACATATCTAGTTTGGTAGATCAATTACTGCTTTCCCAAATCATCCCTAACTATAATTAAATTGATTGCCTCACTTCCCACTCCTAGGTATAGGGAGAGTTCTCCTTTCAGCTTCGGACATTGGAGGAGCTACGAAGAACCTAGTGAATCCTTCAAATTTTGGAAGGCTTGCTAACACTCATTTGTCCACCTAAGACTTTCAACTTTCTTGAAGGTTTTGAAGAATGTCGCACACTTATTACCCGAACTTGAGATGAACATGTTAAGAGATGTAATCTCACTGGTTAGTTTTTGAAACTCTCTGGTGTTTCTTGAGATTAACATATCAATTAGTTCTTAGATTTTGTCTAGGTTTGCTTTTATGTCTTCGTGGGTTAGGAGGAAACCCTCGAAGACAACTAATTAACTTAACAAATACTTATAAGATGAAGACAGTAAAAAATTAAATATTTTTTTCTTATCATGAATCAGTAATAAGCATAGAGTTTCTGTTGTGGAAGTATAATAATTGTGTCATGTCAAATATGAGAAATAATATCATTTACCGTTACTATAGATGCTATAAAGAGCATTAATTAATCTATCTATAGTTTGCCTAGTTTTGAATACCGGTTAGGTAAGGAAGATACTAGTTTTTACTCTAGAGTTCCCTCTTCTCCCTCCACATGAGGGCTAACATCTCGTATCAAATCCTAAAATTATAAATCAAATTAGAGGTTTTAGCCTGCCACTCTAAAGTCCTCTAATTTTACACCTATGAAAGTTTATTTTCCTATTTATTTGCACTCATCCTCATGAACTACATTCTCATCCATGAAATCAAACGTGATTCTTACCATTTGTTGACTGAGACAATATCATCTCAGATTTCACATGTTTTCATAACATGTATTAACATCTTAATTGGCCAAATCAAGAAGTGAATGAAATACA